ATAAAGGAGTGCTTCATCATCTTAAGCTACCTAGGGAGCCGAAAGCTTTTATATTCGCTCTACTGATAGTCTCGAAGTCCTACTCAATTCAAGCATAAGTAACGGTGCCGATTGTAATGACGAATATAAATCTGAATCAGCGACAATCCCATCATAAAATGTGATAGAGGAGAGGCCCAGCTCGCGTTAAAATTCACTTTTGTCCTGTGACTTACTAGCAATCCTGACGATGTGGTGTATTTTTAACGTGTCTAAATTACACACTGCACTAATCAGGTCCGAGACCCGTTAAGGTGCAATCAGACCTAGTTGAGGTCAAAACTACACACTAGCTTGGGTGTGAATACCTTTTGGGAAGCAAGGCAAGGTAACATTCACCTGTATCATGAGGCCTACTCATTTCAGTGTGGGAAATTTCACTGTCAGTTCTCTATTACTTTAAGCGAACTAGGCTGACTCAAGTTCATATTCAAGTGTAGCGAATTGAGCAAGAATATTTTCTTTGAAACCGTGAGCATCTTGCTTTATGTGTGATTGAATCATTGCTGGATTCCGATACTCATAACATGAATCTTTAACCAGAAGAATGGTCTAAATAATCTCGGAGCACTAAGATAAAAATTAATCGAGAATGGAGATTGGATGTATTCTGAAAATTAATGTAAGATTATTATAAAAAATATCTGCCATCCGGGATTCAAACTTCCCTTTTAATTACTAAATAAATAAATATTTCCTATTAATTATCTTTAATAGAAAGGTTAATAATTATGACTTTGTACTAACACTGTCTAGCTCAGTCATTTAATGATGACTGTTTTCACCAGAAGCTATAAATTAACCACTTCTTAAGCTAGTAAAACTTGAATAAGATTTTTAATTAGTATATTAATTAGCTTGTTTATAAATAAGAGAGGTGATTGGTTTGGTGTTTCTTTTGGCATAATTCTTTCAAACTATTAATCTCAAGCGGAGTTGCTTTATTCAATATAGCAGAGAAAAGCTAGTAAAAATTAATTAATTACCTGACGTCTATTTCTTAGATGAAGACTTTTCTTGAAGTTATCTGAGCTTTGACTTGTAGCACCACTTAGAAAACAACTACGTCTACTTGAGGTCTTATTGTCCTGCAAATGAGACCGAGCAAGATCTGTAGGGTTTTTTGCGTTCGAAAGTCTGCCTTGTGATACAAGGTGGCAATTAGAAGAGTTTTTGCTGTTAGATAAAGACTTATTTGTAGTGCTGCGAAACAGACGGTGACTGATATGAGCATAAACGATGCAGGTTAGAACTAGTGGTGCCACATAGAATAGCAAAAAATCGAGCACATATATGAGATGATAGAGTTTTCGATCGAATCTGTGGATGCAGCGCCGCATTGTGCCGATACCAAATATTGTTTGCTCTCCAAGGTGGGAAAGAAATGGCCAGGTACCATTGTAAAGGATAGCGAAGATCCAGATGCTGGCGATAATTTTGAAGGCACGTTTGATGGTACACATCCGCTGAGCTCTCATTGGATGGCAAATGGCCACCCAACGCTCCAGCGAGAAGGCTGTGATTGAGAGCGCCGAGGTGTCGAAGCTGAGATATTGCAGCGTTGTCAGCAAAATACAACCATACGAGCCAAAAGGGTACTGATAAGGAGGATAGACCAATTGTAGGATTTCAGGCCCGGTTGCAGAAATAAGCACTAAGATATCGCTGATTGAAAGGGAGACCAGATAGCAATCGGTAGGAGTATGCAGATTACGGGCCAGCAAAACTACTAGCACAACTAAACAGTTTCCCAAAAGACCTATTGCAAAAATTAAGGTAAGGGAGATGACGCCTACAAGCTGAAAGGTAAGATCGTAGCGGATAGTGGTGGTGGAACTGTTTGTTGGAGTGACTATATCAATAGAGTTCATAATTGGCCTGACTTGAGTCTAGCCGTAAAACCAACCTAGCAGTTGACGAAATTAAGAACGAAAAGAAAGTTTGTGTGGGTAGTCAGGAGGCAATATTATAAAATAGTTAACATTGGCAGTCTGAAAAAACCAATTGGAATCAAGCGAAGATAGATGGCATCCAAATACATAAATCCAGCAGCTTTCTATCAGTGCTCACAAAATTCGGTTAATATCATTCTTTTGGGAAGTAAAGAATTTCATTCGAGCGAAACAAACTTTGCTGGATTAGAAATAAATCAAGTATGCTTAAGCCGCGAGTAATGGGAAACTGCGCAAAGTGGAATCTGAATGAACATGTCATCGATAATAAAGGTGAAGCAAAATTAATAAAGGAATATATAAATAAAAGCTGAGTCACGAAGAGTTAATCTGTGAAATATCACGACATGGCTTTCCATTTACAAGGAAGGGTTGGTTGGAAGGAATTCGTGGTGTGGTCTTGGCGGATACTGAAGTAGAATTGCCGTCTATGGAAGACTATTGTATTGTGCGAATGGGTCCTCGACTCACCGACCCGCCACCCCGATTAACCTGTACAAGGCTTCTCTCTGTTCTGCCGTGAAAGACAGCATCAGTGCAAGAAGAATGTATACTTTACGAAATAGAGCAAAATATAATAGATCAAGAGAAAAAGTGGATGGCTGCAACCCTAGTGACTTTTCTATACGCTCAATTTCGTCATCTTAATGAGGCATCGCCTGATTTGGTTGGCTACTTCAACCTTACTCTACATGCTTGCAAATGAGTGAAGTTACTTCCCAAACCGGAAGTGCTTTTGGTGGCATGATTCATGTTTGGGCTTGTGCTGTTGGTTATTGTGTGTATGTAATGTTCGTGTCGTGGGAAGTTTGATAGTCCTAGCTAGACTCGAGGCTAATCCAAGCGCATTCACTCGTTCATTGTCTTTTACTACTCCCCTCTTGGACTCTATAAGCCGATCTTACAGCCAAAAATAGTTCCTTCCCAGTGTTCTACACTTGTTCCTCCTATTCAGGACGTTGGCTGTTTGGTTAATTTCTGTTGATCTGAGGTCATAGTAGCCAATACAACGTGTTTGGACCAGTTTATCGAGTGTCCTGTATTGGATACGTGTTCAATCCGCTTAGATTTTTGGACTCATATCACTTTAAGAAAATCATATCAAAGCTACACTAATTAATTAGAACTAGGACTGGACTTGGGCTAATCTTGTCCGAGGCCCTTAGTTCGGAAGACTTCCTTAAACCCCAAAGAATAGGGATAGGTTACCTG